CTTCAACTACTGAGTCCGGGTCACGATTGGATGGAATTTCTTTTGTTTGTTTAAGCTGCCGCGGTATTGGGAATTGGAAGCCAGTTGGCACCATGGTTCGGGATACATAGAGCGGCGGACCATCGCATTATGGAGGATGATATCCCCTTGTCGGCGTTGGCTTTAGATTTGTATGACCTTTTTTATAGGTTAATTTCTAATCACTCGTTACCAAAATGACATGTCTTGTACTCACGGCCACATCTCATGCGCGCGACTGCCCTTGGCCTGACTATTCCCACAAAGGTGTCGTATTGAATGGATACGATATTTTCGGTGTCGCACCGAGATAAGATGGATTCTGCGATGGACTTGGTGCACATAGGAATGTGCGGTGTTGCACGTTGTGAGTTGCTGGCAGCTGCGATGCGCTCTTGTTACGGCAAACTCGGGTCGCCTGATGGCGGGCTCTTTTTCAGCTGAAAAACAGCCGGGCGCAACCATGACTGGGCATCTGGCCAACAAGCCACCAGTCTCTCATCGTCACCACACTACCTTTTTCAGCCATTCAGAGCCGGAGGTGGCAGAAACAGACTCCAATCGGCCTTGATCTTCCAATGAAAGTGTCTCTCACGTATCTCGATACAGCAGTGCTCTGCCCGGCGATCCCGATGCGGCTTGCGCTCATGTACGCTACATGTGGCAGCACCATTGAGAAGTCTGTATTTCATACTACACGGTCGATCTAAGATGTTTGGCATGCGTGTGTATCAGCGACATGCTCAGTCTATTCGGCGACGGCTCAGTCTGCCGCGCGCAGTCGTCGCCCATCTGCCAGCTGATATTGTCGCACCTTCATAGTCTCGTGCCAGCTTGCCATTGTCTAGAATATAAGGTGCACACATCTGTCAAGCCTGTCTGAGCACATAGTGTCAGTATGGGGTTCGTTTTGCTGTGTAGGTATGTTCATGTGTATGTTCATGTAGCAGCTGAGGGTATGCACCAGTACGAAGGAGCCCGTTTCGTCCAAGTTAAAGCACTTGAAAAAAAGTAGTCTCAAGTCATACGCTGTTCTTTTTCTATCATATCTGCATAAACGTGTTTGAGGGGTGCAAGAGAAAGCTGGGTCGGACACTTTGCTCCCTGGCGATCAGTAGGACATGTGGACCCTTCGACGTCAGCCTTTGGTGGGGCTGAAACGTGCGCTAGCAGCATTCACATACACAGCTCCCCCCGCCGTGTCGCTCGACGCCTGCACACACACACTCTTTCTCTATACCCCCATAAACTCTTCCCTGATTATTCACAAGAGCTCACGACAGCACACGCACGATGCCGCAGATCAGCGATATCTGGCTCCCATGCCTCATTCTCGTCGTGTTTTGGGCCAGGCCCACGGCAGCTTTCGGTGCCGGCAACATTGCGAGCTTGAGCGCCATTGAGGGACAGAACTGGCGCCATGGAGATATCGAGGACACGCTGCTCACCCTGCTCATTAGCGGCCAGACTGGCAAGAAGTTCAGCAAGATGGATGTCAAGCGCGTCTACTTTGGCAACTGGCTTCGCGACTACTCGCAGGCTGTCGATGTCGGCACCGTCAAGATGGTCTCTGCAGAGGCCATCCGCATCCTCCTCTGGGTGCTCGGATTCATGAGCTTCGGCTACGGAACCAAGGAGTTCGAGGTTACGCGCGATCGCCTTGGATGCTACCGACCAGAAGAGTAAGAAATGTCCCTGCACAGACTGCACGTGAAACAAACACTGACTTGGTACACCTACCTTTAGGCATATTGACAACCCCAAGGTTAGCACATGGCCTGCCTACTCATGACTAGAGACTGACTGTCCAGGACTATGCCGACAACCTCGACGCCCGCGACTACGACCGACGCCTACGAGGTCCCGTTGACGAGAGACGCGAGCTTAGTGTCGACGAGCGGACCGGTCTGAAAAACTACATCGCTTCAGAAGACTTGGGCATCACAACATCGGCGGGCATGGTCCGCGACCTTCTCAGGCGTTGCATTGATCTCGGTCGACGCTCAGGAGGACGTGGTCCCGACTTCTACGAAGCCTTGAGACTGCTCGGCACTGCAACCCATTGTATGGAGGACTACTCTGCCCACTCAAACTACGTCGAGCTTGCCTTGATTGAGATCGACGAAGAGAATCGTGACATATTCCCTCACGTGGGCAGAAACGCCCTGTTTGATGTCCGCGCCGCCGGAAAGCAGGTATACCCCATAATAACAGGTACATTCGGTGGTGTCGACTTTTTGCACTCAGTGTGCGGAGAGATTACCGACAAGGCCACACAATCCGAGCTGCAGGAACTCGAAGGCGCAATTGCCAATGCTGAAAGGAGCGAGAACAAGAGCAAAATTCAGGAGCTTCTCGCCAAGCTTCCAGACGGCATCTTTGGCGGCAAAGACGAATCTGGCAAGGCTGACGAGCTCGCCGACAACGCCAACGCTGCTGCCATGGGAAACATCCAGATTACTCCCAAGGAACCTGAAGCCTTTACAGAGCAGATTGGCGAGCTGGTCAAGCAAATTTATCCCATTATGGAGTTCCACGATGAGATCATGCAATCCATCGCTGAGTTTATCGAGAAGATTCCGATCCTACCAGACCTGATCGAGGAGATTCAAAGCCAAGTTACCGTCTTTGTTTTCAGTCTCCTTGCGCCTTATATCTTGCCTATTCTTAGCCAGGTCAAGGCTGAGCTCGAGACTGGATCCAGCGAGGTTATTGCAAGCTCCCGCGAGAAGCAGCACATTGTCTTTAACGACGACTACTCAACCGATCCAACCCACAGCATGCTCTCCAAGGACCACTTTTCCAACGTGCTCAACGAGCCTGCCGGTCGAGTAGCGTCTGCCGTACTGAGCTGGGCTGTTCCCCAAGTCGTTCAGTGCTGGGACGGTGAGGCTGATCCCGAGGAAACCATTGATCGCATCATCAAGGGTGTCTTCCACCATCCTGCCGTTGCTATGGCAGAGAAGAGACATGGCGGAGGAAGGGATCGCGGAGCTACACAATGCCATCAAATCATGCTCGACACTGTCGGGAAATGGTGGGATTCCAAAGACAGCAGAGCCAAGCGTGAGTTCCGTGACCAACTCAGTCGCGACGGTGTACAAAACCTTCGCAACCACAAGGAGAACGTACACGACAAGGGCCACGGCTGCGGCAAACCTCTGGGTATGGCGAATAACTTCGGTTCTTCCGGAGGACAGGGTGGTGTTAACCCACAGATTCAGCAAGCCACTGATCATGTTGGCAAGCTTGCTGGTGAAGCTGTAGGTGGCGGTGCCCTGGGCGGTCTTGTCGGTGGTCTAGTTGGCGGCATTGGTGGCTCTCTGCTTGGTGACGCTTTTGGAGGGAACGAAAAGAAGGGCCGCAAGGAAGAGCATTACGGCCAAGATGGTTCCTACACTCAGTCATACTCCGAAACCGGTCATCACCAGGCATCTTCGTATGGTGATAGCGATCGCTACGGTCGCGCTGAGTATGAGCAGACACAATACCCAAGCGGTGGACGTCGCGAAGAGTACTCCCGTCAGGAGCGTGATGAGCGTGGCGGGTCCTACAGCTACGAGCAGAGCGTTGAGACTACCGGCTACAGTGGTTCCAGTGGGTATGAGCGTCGGGAGGAGCGTCGTGTTCAGCACGGCAGTGAATGGCGCTCCGAGGAGACGCGCGAAGGCTTCGACCGCTCAGGGGAGTACTACTCTGAGGAGAAAGAGTAAGCCACTCACTTGCACTATCATGATTATAGACTAACAAACGTTCAGACGACGTGGTAAGTCCAAGAAACACTCCGACGACGACGATTCGAACGATTCGGGCGGCGAAGATTCGTACGAGAAGCGAATGAAGAAGGAACGCAAGAAGCGTGAAAAGGAGGAGAAAAAGCGCAATAAATACCGGAAGCATGGCAGCGGTGACGAAGACTCGGATGCTGACAAACGCCGCTCAGGATCGGGTGAATACAGACGTCGCTCTCGCTCCCGCGAGCAAGAGCACCGTCGCAAGAAGAGTAGCAGCCGCTCACCCAAGCGTCATTCTGGAGGCCACTCGGGAGGCTATGGCCAGGAGCAGAGCTACGGCCAGGAGTCGAGCTACGGTCGTCGTCAAGAGGAACCCAGCTATGGCCGTGAACAACCATCCAGGTACGAACGTCAAGAATACGGCGGTGAAACTGGAGGCTACGGCCGTCAGCAGCCGCAGTATGGTGCTGACTCATACAGTACTGGCGGATACGGCCGTCAAGAGGAGTCCGGATATGGCCGCCGCCAGGAAGAGTCGAGTTACGGCCGCCAAGAGTATGGCCGCCAGGAATCATCTCGTTACGGTGCTGACCCTTACAGCTCCGGTGGATATGGCCGTTCAGAAGGTCAGGAATACGGTGGTGAACGATCCGATCAGGCTTATGGCGCCTCTGGTGTCCCTGGAGGCTTTGGCGAAGAGCCTCAAGGCTACGGTCGTCGCCGTGATGACGAAGATGAATATGGCCAGAGGAGACAAGAATATGGCTCTGGCGGCTATGGTGGCTCTGGAGGATACGGTGAGGAGGGGTATGGAAGACGGTACTAGATATGACGTCTTCTTCGCGGGGTCTGAAGTGGCGCTTAGCGTTGCTTTGTGGGCTTGGAGTACCAAGATGACTGTGCTGCAGTACCTACATGAGCAGCCTAAACGAGTTAGCATATCCTACGCTGATTCGCGAATATCATTCTGACCTCATGGACCCTTGATGTATTCGTCGTGATTTACCGCCTTGTGTGGGTACAGGTTCCGCTGGCTTCATCTCATACCTTTCTCATCTCTTTTTGTCTAACCTCTCATCAATTTACTTCTCAGTCAGATAACCGATACGACAAAGAGGAGAATGCTTAACGGCCATCGTTCTAGTACGCGAATACACAAGCAGATTTCGATAGCAAAAAACGAAGGAGCAGATTCCCTAATTGTACAATTTATTATCATGCCGTCTGGAAACTAAGCATCTCTAGATCTTACAGTCTTACACCAGGTTGAAACCCCTTGCTGAAGGGATAGTCAATATATCCTTGGAGGCTCTCTGGTGTGTAGAATGTACTTCGATCATATTTGTTCAATTCCAGACCATTCCTTAGTCTGTATGGTAAGTCTGGATTGGACACAAAGTGCCGTCCGAAGACGAAGACGATATCTGATGCACCATACTTCTCATCAGCGGCTTCAAACACGTTGTCTGGAGTATAGCCACCAGCTATCAAAACAGGTGTTACATTATCCCAGATATTAAGCAGGAAATCGATGCTCTGAGTGGACTCGCAATCGACGTTATTGTCCACCCGGGACTCGATTATATGTAGATAGCCGATTTGTAGTTCCTTGAGTTGCGCGGCAAGGTGGGAAAATGTGGGAATAGGGTCGGACATGAGCATGCCTTGGAAAGAACTCCATGGACTCAAGCGGAATCCCACGCGATCTGATCCAATAGCGGCTGCGACAGCCTTTGCAACCTCGATGCCGAATTTACTGCGATTTTCTACGCTTCCGCCCCAAGTATCGCGCCGCTGGTTGCATGTATCTTGCAAAAACTGATCGACTAGATATCCGTTCGCGCCGTGTATCTCTATGCCGTCAAATCCAGCAGCGATAGCGTTCTTTGCTGCTTGCGCAAAGTCCGCAACACACCCCCAAATTTCATCTTCAGTCATTGCGCGCGGTCCCGTAGTTGACCCCCCTTTAGGTGCAACCCCCCCCCCAGGCATCGTTATGCCACTTGAGCTCAACACCTCATCCCCGCCTGCTCTGAGCTGCTCGGCGTCCGCTGCTCGGCCTGGAGCAACCAATTGGCATACAATACTACAGCCACGCTCATGAACTGCGTTGGTGATGTCTCTCCATCCTGTGATGTGGGCTTCATTCCAAAGCGCAGGGCCGTGTGGTACTCCACCATGCGCCGGAGAGACTTGGGTCGCTTCAGCAATGATAAGGGTCCCGGGCACAGCAGCTCGCTGGGCATAATACTCCACAGCCATAGGGAGCTGGACGTGATCTTTATCCGCGCGTAGACGCGTCAATGGCGCCATGGCGACCCTGTGTTGTAGGTCGACGCGTCCTATTCGGATAGGCGCAAATAGTTTTGAGTGAACCATGATAGATTCGGAGCTGAAGAAATGGAGTACCTGAAAGAGGTCGTAGACAGGATGTCGACAAGGGAAGAGAGTAGTAAAGTCGATGAAGAATAAGAAAATGGATCATAAGAAAAGTTTTCAGTCATAGCAGATGTTGTGGACACCGTCATGACGAATATTTTGGCAACTGAGCTAAGCCGTTGTAAAAAAAAAAAAACCTTTCTTGTTGCTTGTTAATCAAACCTGACCTACCCTCTGAATTGTTAAATGATGTTGGCTCAAACGTTCTTGATTTTGCCAACAGTCAGATGCACATTATTGCAAAAGGGCATGCGTCGATTAGAATGGCAAACCAGAGAAAAGCCGAGCAGGAGCTAGTTGAATTGATTAGGTAGGTCGGAGCTTTGGGGTAAGTTGAGTTGGAGCTAACCGATTTAGAACAAGCCGAGTTGGAGCTTGCTACCTAGGCATGTAGCCGAGTTGGAGTAGGCTGTTTTGAAGCATGCTACACAACAACTTTATAGCCGAAGAACTCGTATACAAGGTGAAATTCTGTCGTCAGATATACGCTGGTGCCATGGAAAATACCGCTTGTGTCACGGAAGTCCTCTCAAAACGGGTATCTTCACGAAACTGAGAGATGATGACTGAATGCGCTAGCTTCCAAGAGTATTTAAAACCAATGTGGCCTTACGATTCATTGAACGATGATATGGAATCTGAACGGATCCCCGTGAAAAGAATTCTTGTGGGAATAATATGTCGAGTAGGTCGACGAGACCATTGTGTTCTTTACGCGGTCACGCGATGATTGATACGTCATGGATTCGACCACATAGGTGACATCACGACTCCCATAAGTACACATGTACTTAAAGTTTTGGAAGTAGTCATGACAGTGTGGAAGTTTCATTACTTTCCAATAAATTCATACTTGATCTCGAAAGCCATGTCGTCACCTTTAACAATAGTTGTCACCGGCTCAAACCGCGGGATCGGACAAGGCATCGTCCATCTCCTCGCCAGCACACAGCACCCACAACCCCTACATATCTACGCCACTTCTCGTGGTGGCGTAGATCTGAAAGCTCAAGTTCAACCTCCAAACGAAATCAAATATGCAAAATTAGACGTCTCAGACAAATCATCCATAACGTCCTTTCTCAAATTAGCACTTGACGACAACGGCAAAATTGATGTCTTGATCAATAATGCCGGGATAAACAACAACAACAACGAGACACCAGAATCTGCAGAGCAAACAGTCAACGTCAACTACCATGGTACCAAGCAAGTGTGCCAGCTATTCCTCGAACAAGGCAACATGAAGAGCACACCAGGTGCGCGCATCGTGAACGTGTCCAGTACGGCTTCTGTCCTGTCAAACTACCCGCCAGCAACACAGTCTCGCTTTCGTTCCGTAACTTCCATCCCAGATATCGATACACTTGCACAAGAGTACATCAGATCTGTTCAATCCCAGAATCAGGAATCTGCTGGCTTCGGCGCACCACCAAAATCTTACCAAGTCAGCAAAGCGCTTATGAATGCTCTCACGGTGGTTCTTGCTAAGGAAAACGAGAATGTGGCGATTAATTGCTGCTGCCCGGGATGGGTGGATAGTGATATGGGCAATCAGATTGGAAGGCCACCTAAAACTTTGGAGGAGGGTGCAAGGATACCGGTACGGTTAGGTATAGGACAGTTGGGTCATAAAGGGAATTCAGATGGTGGGTTGGGGGAGGAGACAGAGCGAGTTAGTGGTCGGTATTTTGGGAACGATGGGGTTACGGATCGGGGATGGGGAAAGGCGAGGGATTGGTAGGATCGTGGGAAGGGAAAGACGTGAATCTCAGGTTGTCTGGAAAAAATCGAGCATCAAAATAAGCAGACCACTTCCACGTTTACTACTCTCCATCTTCCATCAATCCAAGAACCACTTCGGGACCTCAGGCCCCCACACGGCTAGCGATTCGTCTCCCGCTTCACCCCATCCTACTGGCGTCTCTTCATTTACCAAATCACCATCGGCGTAATGCTCAATCATATTCCCTGTCGTATCCCACCAATAGTCAAACAATTGACTACCCAGTATATGTCGTCCCACACCCCACACGCTCGTGTACCCTTTTTGCGCCAACCACTCGTGCCCCAGATTCTGCGTATCAAAGTCATGGACTTCGAAGCTGCAGTGATGAACGTGAGATGTAGGATTTGTGCTGAGAAAGATTGTGTGGTGGTCTGTGTAGGAAGGGCCGATGTCGATGTGGGCGAAGATTGCTACGTCTTTCTGTTGGCCTTCGGGGGTATTGATATATAGGAAATCTGTAGGTACAATGTTGAAAGTGCGCGTATACCATTGCATTTCTGCTTGGAAGTTTTGTACACAAAGACCATAGTGGCCTAGTTTGTGCACTGCGGCCGGCCCCGGTTTGAAGCGCTGGAACCGTGCGACTCGTGGCTTCTCATTTTCGTAATTCGTCGTCAGGACTTCCGGAAAGGGACCGGGTTGTTTTTTAGTTTGGCCGTGAATGAGGTTGATGGGAAAGCCTTCTGGGTCATGTAATGTGATCGTGTGGCCACCTCCTGGCGCATCGATCAATTCCTCAATGGGTCCTGCCCCTGGGACTCTGGAAGCCTTTTCTAGCTCTGCGTAGCTTTCCACTTCAAAACATCCGCCTAAGAACCTCTTCTCTCCCTGTTCAACGTAGTATACGTATTGGTCTTCGCCGTATCCTTTGAACCATTTCTTGCCCTGTGTTTTGTGGGCTACACTCATACCAAAATCACGCAGGAAAGTGGTTATTTCATCAAGATTGGGATGTTGGTAACGCATATGCACAAGTTTGGTGAGTTTTATCTGCGCTTCGCGGTCGATGTCTTGTTCTTGCTGCCATTGTCGGAGTGGTTTGCAAGGCTTGGGTATGGCAACTGATTGGTGGACAGAAGAACCGCGGTTTGGTGAAGTTTCCCGGCTAGGGTTCTGAGACAGTCGTCAGCAAAATCCTGATAATCCGGTTCTTCCCACAGTAAAAAGGTGTATTTTTATGGGCAATTTGATGTTCTTAAATATACTAGAGAGCAATCACAAAGGCGAATGTGGGGCCGATGCATGTACATACTGCAGGTGTGACTTTGTCGTTGAACTCGTCAAAAGCCATATCGCATAGAGCTTGAAGTTTGCTTTATTGAATGTATTCACAGTGCAAAAAGCGCAAAAAGCAGATCAGTTCCTTGTTGCTATCACAGCCGGATGGAAGCGTATATAACGGATGTGGGGTAGGACATGGAACTCATGCCGATGTGGGGTCCCGGCATGTTCGTAGGGCTGAAGGCAATCCATCAGCGCCACTGGTTCGCATTCTCGGTCAGTAGTGGCTGAGCTGTCATGTGGAGAGAATCAAGATGACGCAACGTGAGTATGATACGGGTGTAGTAATATTCCCGAGATGCCAATCCGAATTGTTCAGTCGCCATGTCAAAGCTCCATCACTTCGGATTCTTTCACAGCACTCTTGGCCTCTTCTACAAGCTTGTTCAGCCAGGTACCCAGTCTGAGCGCGGCTTTGCTGATCTGCAGCTCTACGATGGGTACAGCGCCTGTTGCATATCCGCTGGTACCAAGATCGGTGCCGTTCACCACGCGACTATACACATAATCGCAATCCCACCTGTTGCTCTCTTTTGCCCAACTCGTAGCGCACTCCTCGGGTGTTGACGGGTTGGTGCAAGCCAGCCACATGTACGGCGCCGAGTAGAACTGGTCTTTACGAATACGAGTAACGAGTCCTGAGAAGAATGGGTCGATCGACTGGTTTGAGAAAGGCTGCTGGACATTGGCCGCGAAATATGGTAGATAGCCGTCCCAGACCTTGCTTGTTAGCATGTCATCTCGCCATCAAGAAAAGACACTTACGGCATGGAGCTGCGTCGATACTCCACCAAACACCACCCTGAACGTATTGCCTCCTACAGCGCGACCACTCGCATGCAAGGGCTGGTGGATGTCGCCCAAGAAATGAGCTACCCACTTGAGTGCATAAGAGCATGTCAGGTTTTGGCTTCGAATCGAATCATCAGCATACACTTGTTGTACACATTCCTGTAGTATCTTGGTCTGATTTGCAATAGCACTGACAACACACCCGCCCTTGGCGCAATCCCGTGTATAGTCTAGACTGCAAGATTCAGGCTGGCGGTCGTGCGTGTCGATCCAGTGCCACTGATAGGAGAAATGTCCTTCGCTCGTGTGCGCATACGCGTCTGCCCATGCTGCGGAGCGCCCGACTGAGCCGTTGTACTTGGGCTCGAGGATCTTTGCCAGGACGGACGTGGTTTCGGGTGTGAAGAAGGTCTCTGCCATGAAGGCGATCTGGTTATGAACTATATCGACTTAGTATATTCCATGCGAAGAGGGTATATGTCGTACCGTCTACGTTCCATGCTGCAGTTGTCACTATGAATACAGCTCCTACTAATGCACTTCCACGCAGCATCATAAAGACAGTCAGTAAGTTTGCGCGTTGAGCAGAATGGTGGAGATGTGTAGGTCCGAAGGTGCAGAAGCAGCTGATGTTTATAAGTGCTAGAGTTGTGGCTGGGTGAATGCGAGCTGAACACTACAGCTGAAAGTCTAGATTCCAGTTCGTGTTGTATGGGAAGGCTGGATCAAAACACACCGAGATCTGTGGATGGGATCTCAAACCTCGAGTACATGTGCAAAGACAACATTGACAAACTCCAGTTTACTGACGCGTGATGCACCATGATGACGCGCCAGGCTCACGTGGGGAGATTGCTGCAGGGCGATCAGGCTAGAGCTAACACGGGAAAGCGTATCACGACTACCCCACCTGGGCACAATCGCATAACTAGCAGCTTGTGCCTGTAACTTCTGGATAATTCCCTAATGTATATAGCACAGAACCTTATCTGGCATCGAGCTAGGTCAGCTCACACTCTGTCATCCATGGAGATCATGTTTGACGGGATATGAAGCGTGAGAGAGCAGTACCAGACGGGAGCCTTCACATTTGCAACTTCCTGCCGTGAGCTCCTTCTCACACAGAAATGGCCTTCACTTCCTTCTCTGCGAGTCTGTCGCTGTCTCTTGATCTCGACCTACTCACCCTTTTCTATTTCTTCTCTCGCTCGTATCTCATCGGCAGTCATCACGCACCTAAAACGCGTCTCAACTTCCTACAAGATAGCATTGTCGAAAAGCTTTCCAAACCTCACAGAGTCAAGCTACCATGTTCAAACTTCCTCTTCAGACCGTGCGCAGTATTGCCAGACCTAGATCACTTTCCTTCAAGCGCCATCTCAGACAAAATTCCAGCTCGGCGTCCGGCCGCACCATGTGCGTTAATTGCGCCATTAATGAGCTACAGGCTGCACAGGGTACCACAACTACCGGCCGCATTGTCAACAAGATATGCACACGTCTCGCCAACGATAGGGCGACAACGCGTACGGAGCAATTGATCTGGCTCGCCAAGCATGCCCTTGAGACATCAGCAGCATTTAACCAAGATACCAATCGCAGTGATGATTCTATATCTCACAAGCGAAGAGAAAAGGGCGGAGATGGACAGGAGGCAGCCGCTTCTGAGGCGAAGGCCAAAACATCTCACGAAGGCGTTTCCGTGTGGCCATCTATGTGGTAAGTACAATGACGCTCCCAAATTCCCGAATGATGGCTTAAATCTTTGTATGAAAAGGTAGAAGTCGGCCGGTAGTACCTATGGTTTCTCTACCACCCAGAAACCCTTTGTGGACGTGGTTGAGCGCAGTGCACATGGGCTCTCTGAGTTGCTATGTGGACCAGAGTACCCTATGTGGGCTTTCGTGGCAACACGAATTACGCGCCTAGGTACGCGCGAATACGCGTAAGGTCGCACTAATGAGGTTGCGATGTACGCGGGCGGCCAGCAAGGCAGACTTGAGGTGGTCTTGGGATTGTCATATTTCGAAACAGTGCTACGACATGGTTACATATGATAATCTAATCATTCTCTCGTCCTTGATCACGGACGTATGCTCGGTGAATTCCAGCCCACTAATTCTTACCGGCCGAACAAGTGAAAGGACGCTGGTGTAGAATGCACGACCAGACACGAATCAATACCAGCGGATACAGCATGGAATCATGACGGAAAAATGTTGCGAGATGCAAATGGCAGGCCTAGGTAGGCACATGGGGCTGAGCGATGACGAAGCCCCAAGCAGTGGCTTTTGGGGGTATCCGCGGCCAATCACAGGCCAATAAACTCCGCGATGTCATAGCGCATGTGCATCCCCCATGCGAGTAATACAGGCTTGCAAGTGCTACAACCCTTTCTTAGTTCTGGCTACCTCTTCCGACGTTGTTTCTAGTAGCTCTGCTTCTACAATGCGCTATTTCTGATCGTTCTTCTTGCAACCATCATGGCGAGCTCAAATAGTCCTGGGCAGGGCAATGACGCGACCCGCGACGATGCCCCACTAGCACAGCAACATGCGCAAACGCACACCAAGTCAGTCCACCTGCTCAGATAGACGTCCCATGGCGACCTTGGGCTGATTACATGATAGCGCACCCTCGAGTTCTCAAAACAGCTCAGACATCAACCGTGTTCCCGCCCACGACGCACCGAGTCTCGAGAACCCACCACCCGCGTACACGGAGTTGCCAGGACAAGTCGACAATGAAGAGCTGGGCACAAATGCAGTCGTGGCCGACGATGGTCGTGTCAACATTCGAATAGACCAAAAGAGCCGTGCCCTTTCGCAGCTCATCCTCCCACAGATCCAGCGTCAGCTCACACATGCACAAGAAGACCCCGAGCCGCCTCCACCTTACGTCCCAGAGTTCCTCGGCGGTGCACCCGGCCAGCAGCCTCCACCCCCGCTAAACGTCGTCATACAAGTCGTGGGCTCTCGTGGTGATGTGCAGCCATTCGTCGCACTAGGCAAGGTGCTCAAGGAAACATACGGCCACAGAGTGCGTTTGGCGACACACCCGACCTTCAAGGATTTCGTCATTGAAAATGGATTGGAGTTTTTCAGCATCGGCGGTGATCCAGCCGAACTCATGGCGTTCATGGTGAAGAACCCGGGCTTGATGCCCGGCTTCGACACATTGCGCAGTGGTGATATTGGCAAGAGGAGAAAGGGTATTGCAGAGATTCTGAGCGGCACATGGAGGTCCTGCATAGAGACAGGAAACGGTCTCGGCGTAGATCCTCTCCAGCAAACGGTCGAAGAGTGGATGGGCATCGAGGAACAACTGCCAGAACAACTGCGGAAGCCATTCGTCGCCGATGCAATCATCGCAAACCCTCCCAGCTTCGGACACATACATTGCGCCGAGAAGCTGGGCATACCTATACACATGATGTTCACGTGCGTCTATCCCCCTTCAGCGGCATCTATATACTAATTCGGACAGTATGCCATGGTCCCCTACGCAGCAATTCCCGCATCCGCTTGCCAACATCCAATCTACAAACGCAGACCCAACGATTACAAACTACATGTCATATATCATGGTCGATGTGCTGACATGGCAAGGCCTGGGAGATGTCATCAATAGGTTCCGCAAGGACAGTCTTCGCCTGGACCCCATCAGCGGAGTTTGGGCACCTGCTATGCTCGCGCGACTGAAGGTCCCTTTTACATATTGCTGGTAAGTTCATATAGACGGTCGTGGATGATTTAGCTCATACTGCTCAGGTCTCCAGCACTCATTCCAAAACCCAAGGATTGGAACCACCACATCTCTGTTGCAGGCTTCTACTTCCTCAACCTCGCTTCAAACTACACACCAGATCCAGACCTTGCAGCTTTTCTCGATGGAGGCGAGCCACCCGTTTACATCGGATTTGGTTCAATCGTCGTGGACGATCCAAACGCCATGACTAAGATGATCTTCGATGCTGTGAAGATCACTGGAAAGCGAGCCTTGGTATCTAAAGGCTGGGGTGGGTTGGGAGCTGATGACCTTGGAAAGCCTGATGGTGTTTTCATGCTTGGGAACTGCCCACACGACTGGCTATTCAAGCGCGTTTCTGCTGTCGTGCATCATGGTGGTGCCGGGACTACAGCAGCCGGTATCGCAACCGGAAAGCCTACCGTTGTTGTGCCATTCTTTGGAGACCAAGCCTTCTGGGGGGCCATGGTATCAAGGGCAGGCGCTGGGCCTGATCCCATCCCCTACAAAGATCTCACTGCAGAGAAGCTCGCTGGAGCTATTAGTGAGGCGCTTAAGCCGGAATCACTTGACCGGGCCCAAGAACTTTGCGACAAGATCAAGCAAGAGAACGGGACGCAGAAGGGTGCCCAGTCCTTCCATCAGATGCTGAACTACGACGAATTGCGATGTGCTATCATGCCGAACAAACCTGCGGTCTGGAGGCTCAAACGTACTGACGTTAAATTGAGCGCCAAAGCGGCTACAGTACTGGCCCAACAAGGCGAAGTGAATTTTTCCGAAATGAAACTGTAAGCAATCACACAAGTGTACTGTTCCATCTACTTACAAGTATAGTTATCGCCCTCGCGAGTATGTTCCGGATGAGGGCCCTTGGGATCCAGTCTCTGGTGCAGCTGGTGCTCTAATGGGCACTGCAACTTCGGTCATGATGGGTGTTGCTGACATGCCTATTCAGACCCTCAAGTTGCTCAACATTCACCCTGATGCTAGATCTAAAAAAGGAAAAGAGAAGAGAACGGGCACTGGAACATCTTCAATAGGTGAAGGAAGTAGCAGTGGGCGTCCGGTGACAACACGAAGTGGAACTGGTGCCTCCGAGCGCTCAGGCAGAAGTGGTGCCTCGACGCCAACGGCTGCCGATGCTGCTGCTGACATAGCCCGGATGCAGGCCGACAATCCAGCAGTCACTAGCCCCGGCTCTCCTGGTACGCCTTCACACAGATCTACATTCATGTCCCAAGCACTTGCTGAATCTACACAAGGCTCGAGATCACGATCTAGAAGTCGTTCTAGATCTGCGGCTACTTCGACGGCTCCCTCTAACACAGCGCCTAAACCGTCCATGGCAGAGAACGTCGATTCTGCGGTAGACACTGGAAAGGGTTTAGCTAGGATCATTGGTGCTGGCTTCAAGTCTCCAATGGACTTCTCTCTTAACGTTGCCAAGGGGTTTCACAACGTACCGAAGCTCTACGGAGCTGAAGTACGACAGGTCGACAAAGTTACTGACTTTCAGAGCGGCATGCGGACAGCTGCCAAGGTACGTTAAGTGGAATGTCGCGTGCCATGTGTACTAAGAACGTTACAGGAATTCGGCTATGGTCTATATGACGGTATAACCGGCATCGTTACGGATCCTTATAAAGGCGCCAAGAAGGAAGGTGGTATTGGCTTTGTCAAGGGAGTTGGACGCGGTATTATGAGCGTTCCATTCCGGGTCATGGGTGGTGCTTGGTCTGTGCCCGGCTATGCTATGAAGGGACTTTACCAGGAAATGGTCAAGAGCAAGGGAAAGAGTGTACAGAATTACATCATCGCAGCGCGCATTGCACAGGGATACGATGAAGCATCCGAGGTGACGCAAGAAGAACGTGACGAGATCGTCAAGACTTGGGGCCACATGAAATGGGGCATCAAGAAGAAGCGGAACGTCGGAGCTGAGCAAATGGACTCGCTTCATTCACTGGTCCAGCAGAAGAGAGACAAGAAGAATGAGCGCTCTGCCAGGCTCAGTTCGCAGACTGGTGGTCCTGGAGTTCAGCAATCGGCACACGCAAACTCTATTCTGCAAGGCAGCATAGCAGGTCCATACCCTGATCCACCAAGAAGGCGTGGTGTCGAGCCAGAAATTCGGTCGACAGTTCCTAGTTGGCGTCAACAAGAAGCCGAACGAACACGTGCTTTGAGGCGACAGGACACTACCACTTCGAGTTCCCCGTCGGTCGCACCATCCCAGCAATCGCAGGCTGATCTTGAGGCACAGCTCAGGGCGGAAGAAGAAGAAGATCAGCGTGAACTAGAGCGAGCTATTGCCGCATCAGTTGCAGAGTCCTCTCGAGGAGACCCTGAGGAAGACCGACTAATCGCCTCTGCTATTCGTGCATCAATCGCTGAACTCGAACGTGCTCCAGCCGGTAGCAACCCCTCGCAGCAGGATGAAGAGGAGGCACTACACCGCGCCATGACTGCCAGCATGGAAGAAGCCGGCAAACTCAACGTGACTGAAGAGGAGCAAAAGGCGTTCGAAGAAACATTGAGGAAGAGCCTACTCGAGACGAGCAAGAAAAGACAGGTTGGCAGCGATAACGAATGGGACTCTGATGCCGATACGGAAGACGACGAAGATTACAAACGTATCATCGCCGAGTCTAAGCAACTCGCTCATGTCCACGCGAACCACCCGGGTGAGTACGCCAACTCAGCTCAAGGCGCACAGCAGGAGCGTGGAGTTATGGATGCCATGAGCCAGGCTATTGGTGCCGCAGATGATGACGAATATGAAGATAGGAGTCATAGGATAGAGATGCGAGATGATGACCATGAGGATGATGACGCGGAGCTCAAAAGAGTAATGGAAGAGAGCGAGAAAGCGGAGAATGAGCGTATGCAGAAGCTGGAGAAGCAGAAGACGGAGGAGGATATCGTCATGGAGTATGTTCGGCAACAGAGTTTGCTCGAAGAAGAACATAGACAAAGGGTGGCCAACGGGAGGGACGCAAATGGAGGAGGGAGTAGCGCCGGTGCCGGGAGGTAGATTGCGTGAGGAGCGGGTGAAGGTGGTTTTCTGCAAAGGTTTCAGTGATACCCTGGTGAGCACAATAAACGTGTTTGTTCTCCTCTTGTTCCTATTAATATGCATGCTTTCGGGGCTCTAAATCTATATGATGATAATTAATGTGTAACGTAGGTGCATAGCGAGTGGCCGGGACAAGCGAGTGGCCGGCTTTTGCCAAGACCCCACCAAAACTCTACCTACCTCGCGATGCCTCAACGTAACAACGTCTTGTTAGACCAGAAAGAATCTCAAGTACAGCTCGCACTTCAAGCTCTTAAACAAGACGCGAAACTTACTGTATATCGCGCTGCTAAAGCCTACAACGTGCCAGAAAGAACGCTTAGACGACGACGTGCCGGAACGCCCTATCGACGCGATAGCATGCCCAACTCAATAGCTCTTCGAGGATCAGAAGAGGTAGCCATTGTCCGACATGTTCTGAAGCTATTAGAGCAAGGATACCCGCCTCGGCTCGCTGACGTTGAGGAGATGGCTAATAATTTGCTCTGGGTCCGCAACCAGGACCTAGTTAGCAAGAGGTGGGCTGCAAACTTCGTGAAGCGTCGCCTAGAGCTCAAAGTTAAATTCAATTAAAAGTACGACTATAGTCGAGCTCTCTGCGAGGATTCTGAGATTATAGGAGGCTGGTTCCGCCTAGTACAGAATATGAAAGCTAAGTATAGTATCTAGGACGAAGACACCTACAACTTTGATAAGACTAGCTTTATGATGGGCGTGATATCGACTGGAGCGGTAGTTACAGCAGCAGAGCGTCGAGGACGGCCAAAGACAGTGCAGCAGGGCAATCGGGAGTGGGTTACAGCTATTCAGGGCATCAACGCGATGGGGTGGGCGATTCTACCCTTTATTATCTTTGCCAGCAAGCACTACCTCTCCGCCTGGTACAAGGAAGAGGACCTGCTCTAGGATTGGGTTATTGGGGTCTCTAAGAACAGGTGGACAACGAATGAGCTTAGTCTTGAGTGGCTAGAGCACTTTGACAAGCATACAAAGAAGAGGGTTGTTAGCAGCTATCGCCTGCTAGTTATCGACGGTCATGAGAGCCACAACTCGATTGATTTCCACCGGCTCTGCGAGGAGAAGAAGATAATTACCCTCTGCATGCCTCCGCATTCATCGCACCTACTGCAGCCGCTTGATGTTGGGTGTTTTGCGCCGTTGAAGAAGGCGTATAGGTGCTAAGCCGAGAAGCTGATGCGCAACAAGATCACTCGCATTACTAAAATAGAGTTCTTGCCGTGCTTTAAAGCGGCTTTTAACGCTGCTATCACGAAGGGCAATATCCTAGGGGGATTTCGAGGCGCTGGCTTAGTTCCACTTAACCTAGACACTGTGGTATCAACGCTTGACGTCCGCCTGCGTACTCCACCGTTACCTACTGTCGAGGACGGTCCCTGGCAGTCGCAAACCCTAAGCAATACCCTAGAACTAGGGTCTTAAACGAAGCTAGTTCTCGAGAGGTTTTAGAGGCATGTAAATAGCTTACCTACTTTGATAGTTGAGGCGGTGAAAAGCCTCTCTAAAGGCGCAGAGATAATAGCGCATGCTTTAGTGTTATCGCAAAAGCGTATCGCTGAGCTTAAAGCAGCTAACGAGGCCGCTACGCGACGTAAATCGTATAAAAGAAAGCGAGTACAGAAGGAGGGAACCTTTATAGTCGAGGAAGGTCTTCGACTAACAACTCTAAAGGAGTTTGGGGCGCGCAGCAATAGGAAGAAGGCGAAGAAGAGGTCGCGTGTTGAGGTGGGCGAATCGTCTTAAAGACGCTGTAGACGCTGCGGCGAGGCAGGACACAACTCGCGCACATGCAAGCAAGATGTAGTAGAAGTTTCTGATTAATTTGGTCTATCACAAATATTGATTGCTGTTCTTAACCGTGCTGTACAGTCGTGTGTAGCCGTGGTTTTGGTGGGGTCTTGGCAAAAGCCGGCCACTCGCTTGTCCCGGCCACTCGCTATGCACCTACGTTATATACAAATGAAATGATGGTAACAATTACACGGGTATATTCCCTACGCCGTCTTTCCCAAACACCCAAAAAGAAGACAAAATTCTGTTCTCTGTACATTGACCCAACTTACCCAGGCGCTGTGCCAACGCCCGTCAGCACCCTAACACCCCAGCGCCACCAGCCCTCCCTTTCGCCCAAAACTCTATCCAGATCGTCGACCCTCCCTTCAACAAACTCAACTTGTCTCTCAAACTCACCCACTACATCCTCAATGTCCTCGACCTTGCCTCTTAGCGCACTAATCTCGTATTCTAGCTTATCGCCAACATTACCCAATTCTCTGAGACTCGCTGTAAGCTGCCCACGATTGTTCGTCACAGTAGCGTGTGTGTCTTCGCGAAGACTGTGGTATGTATCGAGACGAGGATAGTAGATGGATTCAAGGGTTTGAATGTCTGTGTCTGCGGAGTCTGAGAGGGCAAGGATAGACGAGACTGCATTTTGAACCCAAGCTTGGTCTTTGGAAGAGAGACTGTGAAGCTGGCTGTGTAGGCGTTTGAGCTGTGTCGAATGAAGGTTTTGGATCGCATTGCGGGTGGTAATAGTATCCATGGTGGCAGCTTTGTCGTCCTCTGTTACAGCTTCTTCGTCGCTGTCTCGGGCGTTGATGGTTGTCCAACGGAGGACGCTTTCTTCGGCGGTGCTAAAGGATAGATGACGGGGCCACCAGTCGTCGTTGCGGGATGGCTGGCGGAAACCAAATTGGTCGCCGGACTGGGTACGGCGTAGGAGAGGCGGGATCTCATTTGCTTGATCAACGGGGAGGTTTTCGTTGAGATCAATTCCGTGATATACAGACCCTGCGAGAGAGCTTGCTACGGTCGGTAGTTCATCGGGCTGATCTGAGACTTCGCTTTCGACGATAGAACTCCGCAAGTTTGATGCATGGCGGCCACCGACTAGCTTGTTGTCGCTCAAAGAGACGACAGAATCACCCGGAGTTTCGGTGAGCTGTTTAGTAAAGGCTGGCTCTTCGCCGGCAGTGCTCTGGGGTGACGTAAGGGAATAGGGATCGTCGGACTGGCTTTCATAGTAATCCATCGAGGTTCGTGAGTCTGTGTATTGTGCTGTTCCGCTCTTGGTTCGATGTAACCCATGTCGTCCATGTTCTTCTCGCGATACTTTGCTCGCATGAGTACGCAGACTGACAGCATTCTTTATGTGATGGAAGCCACTACCCGATTCCAGCTTTGCTTTGATGACGGCCCGCTTTGAAGATGGATCCTTGAAGCTCTCTTTTTCCTGGCCATCCGGGGTAGATGTGTCTACTTTCTTCATCTCCGAAGACCCTGTGTCGCGCTTCGCAATATGTTGATGATCGAGCGTTGTTTCCCTATGGACCAGTTTCGTTGTGGGATCGTGTTTGTCTGGCGATGTTGAGCGTCCTTCTCCACCAGGAAGTCGATCGAACATGCTGTCTCCCGATACTGTCTTCCTAGGCTTTCCATGCCATAACCACTTTGCATGTTCACCTCTCACAAGCTCCACAAATTGGTCGATGTCAACCGTCTCTACTTCAGCGATGCCGTCCTTCTGTCCAGCCCCAACAATGCCCATGACCATCTCACCTCCCTTGCCCCCTAGCTCAGCCACTGTAGATTTGAAAGCTCGAGGAACGGCCCAGCCCTCTTTACTGGCTGCCTTTGCAGAAGCTCTTCGCAATTTGTCAAGCGTGTGTCGATCGAGACGTCGGGTTCTGGGTAGATGTTGCGACTTCTGAAAATGTGCGATACCACGCTTGGTGGCTTCTATGTCAAAGACATCCTTTGCGACGGCGGCGTTGCATGCACTCAATCTGTTTCGTGCACCCATTAGCATGCCTAGCAATGCAGCGACTGTGGTAGGACCGAGAATGCCATCATGAGGCTCTACTGTGTAGTATTCCGATCCGAAGTCTATCCACCAATCATTCATAGCTTTCTCTGTCACATCGCACAGCAGGCCGTCTGCATATTCGGGCTCTAGTTTTCCAAACAAGACAAGTGCAACTTGACAGAGCTTCACAAGCTCAATTACAGATGCGTTGAAGGGGATTTTCTCGCTCGTTCGGTACAGTTGCTGGAACTTGGCCTGCGTGGCACTGCTTGGTGGCGTGAGCTTTATGCCCAGGCGACCTGAACAGCCCAATCTCTTCAAGTTTTCGTTGACAAAGAAGGGCTCACGGTACTTTTTCAAATCGCCGCCAGGGATTGGAATCACGGTGAGGGAAGAGGGAAAACCACTGAGGTTTGTCACCATCAGAGCGCCATAGGGCGTGTCCTTTCTCCGCGCATGGTACTCGGTCAGCGAGCGGAAATACAGACGCATCTGCGGTGACCATTCCTCCTCATTCTTGGGTACGCTTATGATTGTGGCCAGCACAGTATCTTCCGGGTTCCCGGTATAGGTTGTAATGAGGAAGGTGGGGTGGGTGCGGGAGCATGCCCACTGCTCGACTAGGTATATCTCGTAGCCCTGAATCTCCTGGCGACGGGCGAGGACATGGCATGAGGTGGTCGGGTCCTCCTCGATGTATCGCGCAGCTACCACGTCGGTCAGGACGAAGCGCTGATGGCCGGCGGGTGATGTGGGGGACTTTATTCTCGCCTCGTCTGGTATCATATCGGAGGTGGGAGCTTTGGAAGCTGGCTGTGGACGAGATTGCGCCGTGGTCTTGCGATGGGTTGACGTCGTCTGCAGGGGCGGCATCTGGTGCCGTAGCTCCTTCTCCGAGTGTGTCCGCGACGGCGACATTGGTAGTTGATGCGCCATGCTAGCATAGGGAGAGTGAAGGCAAGCTCTTCATGGTAGAAAGGTAGGCACAGAGTCTCGCCGGTGCCCGAGCGCGAGCCAACGGGCAGAAGGCGACAAGATGGCAGACGGCGAATCGAGCGGCACTCTATGCATGTTTCCAGCAGTCGCCAGCTCCGTGTTGCTGCATCTGGAAAGCTCAAAGGCGTCAGTACAGGCCAGAGTTGTTGTGCACAGGTCGGAGCTTGTGATGGGCGCGGAGCATCGGTCGGCGGCGCTGTTTCCCCACACGTCATGCCCGCGGCAACAGCCATCGCGAACTCGACAAGAACCCCGGCCGGCCCAAACCCACGACGGCCATGGACAGTGGGAAAGTGCTCTGCTGGCCAGACAACAGCTATTCACTGCCAGCTGAACCTTGCTCTGCCAGCCCCAAGCTTCACGTGCCATCATAACCATCGCTCACGGACATACTATTCACTATCACCATCACCACCATCACCACCGCCATGGACGACCTCCGCGAGCAAGTGGAGCTGCTGGAGAGCAGCGCCAACCTCTCCACCAGCATCGACCATGTGCAGAGGGCGATTGACATGCTCACTGCGGCTCGCGCCAAGATTGCAGCGGGTAGGAATTCTCCTGTAGACATGGCCATACAGCTTGCTAACCAGTGCGCGACCAGATCCCAAGACGGCGCCCTTGACCCTCGCCAAACTCCAAGACCCCTTTAAGAAGTCTTTGGACACGGTGCAGAAGGACCTCAAGCCAGTCTACGCCGGTCTGAACAAGTACGGCAAGGCACTCGACAAGGTGCGCTTCCCTGTTCGCGCAACCCTCAAGAGAGAGTCCTAACAATGTACCAGAAATTCAAGGACAAGCCCTTACCCTCCGCCGACAACGATGCACTATCATCGCATCCCTCGCTCATCAACCGCGCTATTGCTATGCACCTCCTCCGCGAAGGCCAATTCGACGTAGCATCCACCTTTGTACAAGAAGCCAGCCGTCAGCCGCCACATCCCGAGCCCACTCTCAACACACCGAACCCCTACATTCGAGAAGCATGGGAGAAGGATCTCGCAGAGGGAACCTTCAACTCGGAGAAGCTGCAACAACAGTTCGCCGACATGTACCACATACTGCACCAACTGCGCAATGAGCG